CAAGACCCTCATCAGGGGTATGTGCATATAAACAGTAATAACAACAATAACATATATACAAGAACAATGAGATGAATGGAATGGCATGTTTACATATACAGTTGTATAAAGTACATTTTTAATGAAATTTGCAGTGGAAGACAATTATAATTTATATCAGACATAATTTATCTAATTAATAACAGACAGAACGATTTTACAAAATTTGGCAAGTTTGATAATTAAACTGTAGTCATCAGAACAAAAAAGCTCACAATATTTAATAGTATTCTAACAGACGCATGAACTGCAAAGGGATCAAGTCGAGAAAAAAAATCCATAATAGGATACAATAAATAATAGATGACATACAATAAATAATTAATTTAATTTAATTTAATATACACATTACAAAGCAAAAGCCTTTGTCTTTCAAAAGAGAGGCGAAAGATACCAGGGACATTCAAACTCATAAATCGAAAATAAGCTGACAACGCCATGGCTAAAAAAGAAAAAGACATCAGACAAACAATATTGCACTAAACACAACATGGAAAAATAAAGACTAAGCAACACGAACCCCACCAAAAACTGGCGGGGATCTCAGGTGCTCCGGAAGGGTAAGCAGATCCTCCTCCACATGTGGCGCCCATCGTCAATTGAGAAAAAGGTACATTTAAACAAATAATGGAATTCATCGCCAATTTCACATAAATTGCAAAAATCGCAGATGCGACCATCAAGTTCGACAGCCCAAAACCGACCTTGTTCTATTTGCAATTTATGATTCATACATCTAAAATTATAAATATGTCTTTCGCAGATCATATGGTAGATCAACAAAATATCTTTCGAAATTATGAACAGTTTTAATCTATACTTAAACACATAGATGAATCATAAAAAATAGTAACTCAATTTTGTTTAAACTGATCACAAAGATATTGTTTGACTAGATTTGATACAATAACATTTCTTGGTAGAAGACACATAGAAAATGCAGGTTTCACACTGACTGTGTAGTGTATAAAAAATCAACATTACTAGTCCATTGTACTAGTCCATAGTACTAGTGTTATTTTTGATACATCATCATCATATGCACATCAATTATTATAGTTCCAGTCAAGTACTCCCAAAGTCAATACTCATTGTTGACTGTCATTGTTTGACCAAGAGTGACCGCTGCATGGGAAAAAGAAATATGGTCACTACTTCCGACCGGCAGGAAAACGCTTGCCAAAGTGGGTCGCCGTTTGGTTGTGCTGGATGTATAAATTCGCAGCCATGTCTTATCAAAATGGGGACGATAGATTTGATGCCTCGTGTAACAGTCGGAAAGCAAGCCCTTAGAAACGACCGTTGTTGCTACTTTCTTAAGACAACAATGGGACTGATATTAAAACCCGCCATTCTGAAATTGCGCTAATTTCGCGGAAAAAATAATTTGGCGCCAATTTGAAATTTTTTCTTTTTTCTGTTTCTTACTTGCCATTAGGGTCAGAAATAGATTCCTTTCGATTTTTCAAGCATGGTTCTTATTATCGAAGAAAATAATGATTAAACATGTTATAAATTGTCCGTCTTTTAAAAATAACGTAATGCCTTTGATCGTCGTTTAAGAATTGTGCGAAATTGTCTGTTATTTTTTTCTTCTTTTTTCCCAAATAAACAAAGAATATACAAACTATATAAAAAAATTAATAATAAGTATCTCAAAGTTAAAACAAAAATCAAGTCTAACGTTCTATCACCCCTTAGGAAACCCCGTTCGAACTAAATTCCAAACGAAAGACATTTTTTGACATTGTAGCTTTTTTTTTATCTTACACATCGATGTCAACTTGCATCTTTACACAATGTACACACATTTAGTGTGTTTGTTTGAAAAAGCAATGGCGAGTTCAGCTGTGAATATTTGACTGGATTAATTATTCTTTTTAAGTCAGTGAATTGTTTGACTTAACTAAAACAAGGTAAGGAAATTGTATACTGTCTTTACACAACCTTAACCAAAACTCATTCATCGTTTATAATATTATTAAAAAATTTGTGATGAAGTAATCCTGCAAAACTGCCAAAGGTAAATGAAAAAGTCTTGTCCTAAATATGAACTTAAAACAATCTCTTTCAGACTAGCATTTTAATCACTCTTATTCAAAGCATGTTCATACTGACATGAAGTGTGACCTACTTATGACTTGTGATCTAAAACATAATATTGTTGACTTAGCACTCAGAATCTGCTCTGAAATACTTTTATATAAATATAAAAATGCATAATTGTTAAAAAAAAATTAAATAGAAGAAAAATATTAGACCCAGTCTTTTTTGTTCTTATCTATTTTCAAGTTCATGATTAGAACCATTTATTTATTGGTTTAGTGGTTTTTTTTTATAATTTGGAATCCATTAATTAGAATCTGCATAGAATCAGTGAGACAAAATTTATTGTTATATTTAGTTTGTTCATACAAGAATTGCAAACTAATTTCCTTTTATTTCAAATAATGCAGAATTTACATTCAGAATACTTTCATTATGGTCTTGTTTTAGTTTAAATGAAAAAGGTAGGATCAGGTATCAGTAATGAAAAGGAGCTCCTGTATTTGATCATTTTAATCCTGTCTTGATCCATTATTCATGAATATTTTGGCTACCCCTTGTATGATTAAAGTAGAAATTTATTTCTGTGTTGAAATAATTTGGTTACAGCAGTGTAAATACTTACCAAAATATAAATATTAAATTAACTCTTGGAATAATAATATTATGGCACATAGGGCCTATTTGAGTATTTCACTGAGACTGAGTTCTTAAAAGTGATAAAATGTGTTTCGCTAATTTTTTTACACATGTCTTTAGTATCAAAATATATTCAATAAAATTATTTTAATAATATCCTCATGTAAATAACAGCATATGGTGTTTAATATAATAATAGTTTGATCATGAGAGTGTCAAACAAAGGGACGTAACTCGTAAATTACTATCGGCCCCGCTTCGTCAGAAATATCGACACATCGAAGTGGCACATTTGCGTATTACAGCGTATTAAGTGGCACAAATTTGACATATCATAGTCAAAGTTATGTTACATAACATAATTTAAATTCAGCATAGCTTCCCGAGAAGTTAAGAAAGAAAATTACGATTTTAATTTCCAGTGACCGATTTTTTTGGTCAACACCTAGACTTTGAAGACACATTTTGAGAGAAAAAATTAGTTTAATCCATAATTGATGGATCAATATACTTCTTATATACTCAAGAATGTTCACTTAAAAGCAAATTAGTTTTAATTCATGCAATAAACTACAAATTCCAAAAAACGGGCTTCACTTTTTTTGGTAAAAAAATGCCCATATATGGTAATCACATGACTTCCATTGTTGCTTTAAGAAATGGGGTCAAACCGGGGTCAGCTTTCCGACTGTAAAGACAGTTCAAAACTCTCTGCACGTTAAGAACCGTTGCAGCAACTCTTTGAAGTGGCCTGTTGCAAGGCTAAATTTCTGTTGCTATCCAATTATATCCCTCATTTTTCAGTGGCAGTTCAAATATTTAGGTCAGTGACAGCCCCTAGTACAGGACCTACCTATTGTGGGTATTGCTAACTTGTTCTCATCCTGGAAATGCATACAATATTTGCCACTGAAAGTATATCAACGAACAATCAATCAATCATTTAGTCATTGATTAGGAAACACTGAACCTTTGTGATACAACATGATTCAATGCATCTAAAGCATTTGTTCAACGCATATGCCTCTACCGGTTATAATCATTTTGTTTCAAAATAGTTTTTACAATGGGGTGGAGGTCCAGGGAAAACTATGTGAATTAAGTTTTTTATCCACTATACTTTTATCCTACATTGAACTTCTGATGTTGCCCTTTAAGATCCTTTAAGGCCACCAGAATCACCAATTTTACATGCTATAGCCAAATTATATTGAAAATGAAATAATATCTCAATTCTATACACATAATTATAAGTTAGATGGAACTACTGTATGTCATTGCCCTGAAAAAACATTATATAACCGTTAAAAACAACTTGCGAATTTCATGCATTAGTGTTGTCGAAACTTCAAGAGAGTACGGAAACATTTCCGATGTTGGTCACGATAGTATATAATTTTTATGACGTCATTGGAAACAAAGCCTTGGTTTCAGATTTTTCAGGTAACGTTTTTAGTTTTACAGTTACACGTACCTACAATCAAATAATTTATACCTGTAGGACGTCACGGATGATTTTTAAGCAAAAATACTGTTGAGAGAGGGTTTCTTGTCGCCGAGTTGCAAGTTGCGAGTTGAACAGGCCCAGTCATTCCAGTTGCGATTAACGAAATAAAATTGAGAATGGAAATGGGGAATGCGTCAAAGAGACAACAACCCGACTACAGAGCAGACAACAGCCGAAGGCCACCAATGGGTCTTCAATGCAGCGAGAGACTCCCGCACCCGGAGGCGTCCTTCAGCTGGCACCTAAACAAATACACCTTATCGCTATTTGTCCGCCATTACTGGACATCACACAGGCTCCCGTAAAATTTTGACGTCATAATACAAAATATCTGACGCCACAATGGAAAAGTGATTGTTGTATGACGTCAATAATTCAAGCGGGACAGATTCTCGGGTCAGCCGGGAATAGCGATAAGGTGTATATGTATACATACTAGTTCAGTGAATGATAATGGACGTCATTCTAAACTCCAAATTATACACAGGAAACTAAAATTAAAAATGATACAAGACTAACAACGGCCAGAGGCTCCTGACTTGGGACAGGCGCAAAAATGCGGCGGGGTTAAACATGTTTTTTGAGATCTCAACCCACCGTTCGAGTTGCGAGTTTCGGAAGTCGAGTTGCGAGCTACGAAGGTCGAGTTGCGAGTTACGAAATATGAAAAATTTATATATGAAAAGGTATACAATCTTAAAATCTAAATAATATGAAAAGGGTGGGGCAGCAGAACCCAAGCGGTCCCCTCTATCAATTAAGTATAGGAGGTTTTATCGATGACGTCATCTCGGTTCTATTTTTAAATCCGGGGAAGTCTGGCCGTCAATCGGCCATTTCCGTTCGGCGCCATGTGACTGAAACGGAAGTCTGCTGTCGTCTGTTTACTAACAAACCATGGGTAAAGTGTGCGTAGTGTTAGGTTGCCGAAATCGAGATAGTCACAAACAGCCAGGAATCAAATTCCACAGGATTCCAAAAGATGAAGAAAGAAAACAGCTTTGGATAAAGGCAATAAACCGAAGGGACCCTTTAACAGGAAAAGTTTGGATATCTGGTGACGAGGGAGCCAGAGTGTGCAGTGAACATTTCATTGATGGTAAAAATTAAAAGCAATGCTTTATCTTAACCCTTTAAAACATTGCATATGTATTCCAGTTCTTGTTATATCCATTTTACATCTAAACTTCAATGCATAAACAACGTGTCGCAATTTTTCTGACGGGCACTTGTCTCAAATATATATATATAACAACAATGATGTTTACGACTTTAACCAGTTTACAATTTACCATACCTGTTAACATAAAAGTAAGTATAGGTATCTATTTATTCAATATTTTTATGGGTTTTTAAAACTAGTTCACTCCTTATAAATTACACAGACCTGTATAGTGTAGGTAGTACAAGGACTGCCATTGTTTGTTGGAATTGACATGAGGTCTTGAGGACAAGGCTATGGTTTGTATTTTAACATATTCTATCATAGGCATGATATGGTTTATGGTTTCATGTTTTATAAATGAACCTGCCCCCACACCGATCATTTTCTTTCTTGATTCTTCCTGTTTTGGCCTGGAATCTACTAGCAAGGGTGGAAATTCACATTTTCAAGGGGAAGTGCTGCCCAATTTGTTTTCATGTTTGGAATTAGTAATTTGTCCACAATTACTCCACAAATTTTATTATGTCAGATTGTCCACATATCTAGCAGTGAATATCTTCCTAGCAAAAAGGGAATTATATATAAAATACCATCTTGTTTCTATGTAAACTATGTAAAAAAGAAACTTATATCAATTAGTATCACATTCTCATGATGCTAAAAGGCCATGGAACGAATACTGGTGGTACGTGTTGTGTTGCTCTTGTTCAAACCCGGTGATAAGTCTAAATTGGTAGGTCACATTCAGGGTTAAGGGCGCAAGATTAATAACATAAACGGTACCAATTTTTCTGCACCAGATGCGCATTTAGACAATCAATGTCTCTTCAGTGATGCTCGAGGCGAAAATATTTGAAAATCCAAAGCTTATTAAAAATATGAAGAGTTAGAGAAAAACATGACTGTGCAATGACAAAATAATGGGCATTCACAGATAAAGTACTGTGAAAGTGCATATATGTGTATAACAATAATATTTGGTATGGTTTTGATTTAATTGCTAATAACATTTTTCTATGTCTGTTTTTTTGAGACGCCAACTGACATATAAAAGGATTATCATATGTCCTAATAACGTTTGATCCATTAAATTCAAGACTGCTACATGTATCTTCAAATTTGACAATTGACATATATTTTCAATGTTAAACATGTTAAATATATACTCTTTTTGTTTTTATTCAGATGTTCTTTTTTTTATTGTTCTTCTTTCCTTCATAACTGATATATTCTTGGGTTAATTTGTTTTATACATAGTGTGTAACCAATAGGTCAACTGTAATATATACATGTATTTTCATGGTTTGTTAGTCAATGTTAAATTTTCGTACTTTGGTCTGTGTCTCAAATACTACATGTATAAGCAGTATGTGAAAGTATTGATGGTATAAGGTGTAGGTATCTCTGTGTCAGGATTCATATGACCTTGCTCCTTATTGACGATTTATTAACAACATTTTAATTTTATCGTTGATCTTATATAAAGCATTTTTAAAAAATGGCCATCGATTTTTTAATTGTAACTTCAAGTTATATTTCCTTCTCTCATTCTACAATGTAACTAAGGTGTGAAGGGACAATGTGACCTCTTCATCTTATGGCATGTTGCAATGAACGAGCAGAATGGTTTTGGACTTCTAATGAAATAAATAAATAGCGGAATGTGAACCGGTTTAATATGAATACTTAGGGAGCTACCATTTGATTTTTATGGGGGGGGGGGGGGGCTAGGATGAAAAATTTTGTCCTGCATTTTTTTTTAGTTGTAATCTTTGTCCTACATTTTTATTTTTCACTCTATTCAGTCCTGCATTTTTTTTGTTAGTTTATCCTGACTTTTTTTACATAAATTGTCATCCTGCATTTTTTTTGCCAAGTTGCTCATCCTGCCTTTTTTTTGCTCAAAACTCCTGTCCTGCCTTTTTCAAATTTCATCCTAGCCCCCCCCCCCCCCCCCCCCCATGGGATATGGTAATTGTGATGTAAATGCAGTTTCATCTTCTAAAAGTGTTGACAGGTATGATACAAACAATTGGACTAGTGCCTTATGTTTAGATTCATTTATTCATGGGGTTAATCCAGGGATAAAAAAATCATTTCGAATTTATCTGTTAATGCAATAACAATGTGATAGATTTAATCTTAGATGCATGATTTTTTTTCTTAGTTGTTAGTGGCTTTGAACTACTTTAGTAGCTGTCAGTAACTGCGAGTACTCTCAGATCTGTACTTAGTGTCTTTTTGTTGTTTGGATGTACAAGTACCCGGCCAAGTCCACATGTATTTGTAGTATTTGTATTTTTATCCATCTGATGAGTTAAGCCTCTTTCAACTGATTTTTGTCGAGCCTGCGACTTTTGTTGCAGAAAGCTCGACATAGGGATAGTGATCCAGTGGCTACAGCGGCGGCAGCGTTAGCTAACTTCTTAAAAGCTTTATATTTTAGAAGGTGGAAGACCTGTATGCTTCATACTTTGTATATAGATGCCTTATGTTATGAAGTTTCCATCTGTCACATGTCCATTGTCCTTGACCTCATTTTCATGGTTCAGTGACTACTTGAAAAAAAGTTAAGATTTTTTGTAATGATAATTTCTCTCTTACTATGAATAATAGGATAACTATATTTGGTATGTGCGTACCTTGCAAGGTCCTAATGCCCGTCAGCCAGAATTCACTTGACCTCGACCTCGTTTCATGGATCAGTGAACACGGTTAAGTTTTGGTGGTCAAGTCTATTTCTCAGATACTAGAAGCAATAGGTCTAGCATATTCGGTGTATGGAAGGACTGTAAGGTGTACATGTCCAACTGGCAGGTGTCATCTGACCTTGACCTCATTTTCATGGTTCAGTGATTATAGTTAAGTTTTTGTGTTTTGGTCTGTTTTTCTTATACTGTATGCAATAGGTCTACTATATTTGGTGTATGGAATGATTGTAAGGTGTACATGTCTAGCTGGCATGTGTCTTCTGACCTTGACCTCATTTTCATGGTTCAGTTGTCAAAGTTAAGTTTTTGAGTTTTTGGTATTTTTTTCTAATACTATATGCAATAGGTCATCTATATTTGGTGTATGGAAATATTTTATGATGTACATGTCAGTCTTGCAGGTTTGACCTTGACCTCATTTTCACGGTTCATTGCTCAGTGTTAAGTTTTTGTGTTTTGGTCTGTTTTTCTAATACTATAAGCAATAGGTCAACTATATTTGTTCTATGGAAGGATTGCAAGCTGTACATGTCTGCCTGGCATGGTTCATCTGACCTTGACCTCATTTTCATGGTTAATTGGTCAATGTTTAGTTTTCTTGGTTAAGCCTGTATCTTAGAAACTATAAACAAAAGGTCAACAATATTTAGTGTATTGAATGATTGTAAGGTGTACATGTATTTCTTGTTTGGTTTATATGACCTTGACCTCATTTTCTTGGATCATGTCAAGTGTTTGTGATAGTTGTAGTAAAGCTTTATATTTAGGACTATCAACATAATATCAATGATTAGTAAAGAAGGCGATACATTTCAGCGTGTGCACTCTTGTTATAGTTCGTTCTTATGTTGTACTGTTACACCACTGTCCCAGGTTAGGGGAGGGTTGGGATCCCGCTAGCATGTTAAACCCCGCCACATTCTGTATGTATGTGCCTGTCCCAAGTCAGGAGCCTGTAATTCAGCGGTTGTCGTTTGTTTATGTGTTACATATTTGTTTTTCGTTCATTTTTTGTACATAAATTAGGCCGCTAGTTTTCTCTTTGAATTGTTTTACATTGTCATTTCGGGGCCTTTTAAAGCTGACTGTGCAGTATGAACTTTGCTCATTGTTGAAGGCTGTATGGTGACCTATAGTTGTTAATTTCTGTGTCATTTGGTCTCTTGTAGAGAGTTGTCTCATTGGCAATCATACCACATCTTCTTTTTTATATATCAATTATGGGAAAGTGTTTTAAACAAGATTTAGGTATGAATCAATGTTTTATATCTTTATTTATCAGCATACCATATTACACTGTTAAAGAGATACATGTACACATAATAAAAGTTACATAATGTACATGTTGTATATGTAGTAAATTTGGTTGATTAGTATATTTCTTTTCTCAATAACTATTTATGATCATCATTAAATATAGGACATTTACAAATAGAAAGAAATTCATCTGATATCTCCAGAGTTATACATAAGTATTTCATATTATCACTTGCAATATTATGCCATCTACCAGTCTCAACCTACCTAATGTAATAAAATGTTTCTATCATCTTTAGTTTTTAAATAATATTCCAATTCACAGTTTTCATTATACATACCATATATATAGTTTACAGCTTTTTGTGATAAAAATAAAAAAAGATGTGTGTTTCCTATTACCCTACCCTCCCTATTTTTTAAGCTCAAAAATAGCCTACCCTAAAGTTTTTTTTTGTCATTTTTCAGTTTGCACTTTTAAAGTCAGAATGTCCCTCCCATAGACTCAATGTAATAAAAATGGTAAAATAAAAAAAAAAACCTACCTACCTACCCTATTTTTTTCAAAGATGTAATAGGAAACACACATATTATTTTTTTTTTTTTTGGCCTTAGATATATTATAAGTCTTTTATTAGGCCAAATAAAATAATAGAAACTTGAGAATATTAATCAACAATTGAATATAAAATACATCTATGATATACTAATTGCAAATACTTCAAAAAAATCATTCATTTATAGACAGCAATTCACTAAGTACTAAATTCACAGTAAGTGATGTTGTAGTCTACAGTTACTAATTTGAAAAGAAATACTTAAAATTTGTATCCAAAGTAAGTTCTGGTTTCAGTTTATTGTAACATTTTCACTATTTTTTAAAAGATATAAAAGAGCTGTTAAAAGAACTGCTGATCAAAAGGAGAGAGAATGCAGAATGCAGTTGGACTTTTTGATGACAGCTGATGGCAAAGAAAATGATCATCTGCCATTACAAGACTTAGACTGCAATGTAGACATGGAAGACAAAAATGGTACCAGAACTTAGTTTACTATTCTTATGTGTTCATAGGGTTAATAATCTTTTTGGACTTGTTGCCTTCAGTTTCTCCATTAATAATTTATTAGCAGTTAATTTAAATGCTGCACAGCATATATTTTGCAATAAAATCCATAATCAAGTAGTGCAATAAACAATGTTTTTTGTACAGAGATGAAAAGGCAACAAATTTATCATACATTTTATATTTTTCCTAGGACTCTATGTAGATAGCTTAATATATCATCAGTATTAATTTTGCACATTGGTTAAGGCTGTATGGTACCTATACATGTACTTGTTAATATTTTTTGATGTTTTAATCCCTGTCTACTGCAAACTATTTCTTTAAAATGTTAGTACAAAAATAATGAGATGTGGTATGATTGCCAATAAGAAAACTAATCAAACAAACAAACAAACACACACACACACACACACACACAAGCTTAATTTACCGCAAAGGAAATTCTAAAAGCAAATATGACATACATGAACCAATCATAACCACTGAACTATAGGCTCCTCACTTGGGACAGACACAAGCTCATTTACAATGGATAAATGTCAATTTTATTCAGAAAATAGACCATGCACTTGTAAAAACAACTTCTTGATATATGACACCAACCTTCATCAGGTTATGCTGTTCCTTGTGACACTTTTCAGTTACTTTGATGTTTATATAGATGGAGTTTAATTCATCCTTTATTAGTATCCAAAAGCTCAAAGTGAATCTGGTTTTCTTAATTGGAAAACTGCAAATTTGATATATAATTTAGACATTTTTATAAAAGTAAAACAAGGAAATGATTTTATAGTACAAGTTACATTATGTTTACAAGCCACACAAAAGTAAATTATTTCAGTAAAAGTCATTTGAACCTTATCATGCTTATGTAATTTAAGAAAAGTTTCAAGTGTCCTTGTTGCCAAATGGAAATGTTTATAGTATTTTTGGTTAATTTATAACTCTTTACATTTCAGGTAAAGGAGAATATGAAAATTGCAGTATATTATTAAAAAATGCCATAAGTGAAAACAAAATCCTAATAGATCAACTTCAACAACTGCAGTTAGAAAAAAATGTTTTAAATAATAAACCACCTTATATGAGGGCTTCTAGTCTATCCCTGGAGAAAACAGAAGAAACAACAAAATTTTATACCGGATTGCCATCTTATACATGTTTTATTTGGTTGGTGAACTTTGTGACCTGTATTTTACCTTCTTCCAATATTTTGAGTTCAGCAGACATTCTTCTTTTGGTTTTAATGAAATTACGTTTAAATTCTCCACATACTGACATCTCATTTCGTTTTGGAGTTTCTCTTAGTTTAGTTACCAATTTAATTGACAGTGTCATCCCTCAATTAGCCCACAAATTAAAATGGTTGATTCATTGGCCAAATAAAGATGATATTTTACGCTCTAGACCAGACTGCTTTAAGGAGGCCTTTCCCAGATGTGTTTCTGTTATTGACTGTACAGAAGTTTATATAGAGACTCCATCAAATTTTACAGCCAGATCTTGTACTTACAGTAACTATAAGCACCACAATACAATTAAGTTTTTAGTCAGTATTGTTCCGTGTGGAAGTATTTCTTTTGTTTCACGTGCATTTGGGGGGAGGACTTCAGATAAATTGATTTCTCTTAAATCCGGTTACCTTGACTTTATACATCATGGTGATGTTGTCCTAGCAGACCGTGGCTTTCTTATTAAAGACGAATTAGCATCAAGAGGGGCTGAATTAATTATACCATCATTTGTAAAGGGAAAAGACCAGCTAAGTGCCTTTGAAGTGGAAAGAAGCCGAAATATTGCACATGTAAGAATTCATGTTGAAAGAGAAATGGAACGACTGAAAAATTTCCGTATTTTGTCTGGAAAGATGTCATTGAATATGGTGCCACATTCTGACAGTATCATGACAATTTGCTCTGCTATTATAAATATGCACCCTAATATTGTTCAATAACAGATTAACACATTTCCCTTGATTATAGGTAAGGCCATTGAAAATTTAATATTGGTTTCCCCTAACACAAGAAAATTTTAAAAGGTCAGCAGGCAAGAAAAACTTTATTTTTCTATTATTGTAGTTCGAAATATCTACCAGACTACAAGAAAAATGTTGACATCATATCTGATCTATATTGTGATGTCACCTACTTTAAACTTGAAGAATGATAAATAAAACATTATTTTGAGAAATGGTCAGACAAGGATCATTTATAGTTTAAGAGCAAGTATTACTGGAGGGTGAAAACAGACCCAACAGACTTTAGGTAAACCAACAATCTTTTTTCCATGGCCTTAAAATTACTAATTTTTATATCTCATCATGTACATAACAACATGTTTCTTGTTGTTTTGTCTAGCCAACATTGACTTTTAAAACAAATTCAATTTTTGATATCTGTATTCAAATTCAAGAAGTTATTGTAACAAAAATTGCTGAGGCATCACCGAAAGATAATTGGTCTGCAGATTTTTTTGTTCAGCATTATTATTTTTCAATGAATCTTATAAGGTGCTGAAAAATATTGGTGTCTGACATTTAAATAAACAGTAGAAGGAGTATTGTTATTACTAGGTATACTTGTTTTTCATTTACTGTAAAGCTTTTATGAAAAATTGACCATATAACCTATTAAGAAACTCCCTCACTTGATTTTGAGACTTACAACTCTTTACACTTTTTTTTTTGGAATATGCCTTTTGCAGATACATACAATGCACCCATAATCAGAAACGGATTAAGGGTGGGGCAGGGTGCCCCCTCCATGTTTGAAAAAATTTGGATCATTATATAGGAAATCACTGAAGCATGACTGGAGCTGGCCCCTCTAAGGCAGTCAGTGCCCCCTCTTTATGATAATTTCTAGTTCCGCCAATGATAATATATTTCAAAAAGATTTTTTTTTATTTTTGTTAAGAATGTATCCTTATCCAGTTTCAGATAAATGTTCAATTTATCTACAAAATTAACAATATCAAATTCATAAAAAAAAATCCAAAATCTTATGAGAACCTCGCAATACACTTGAAGTTGTTATTATGTTAATTTTGGAACAGATTGAAAGACTAAAAAATCGTTGTGAAATTAATTCTGGAAAAAAAATTCTTTTGAAAATATGATGTAAAAATTTTTCAATTATAATGGATAAATGAAAATCCAGAATCCTAAACTAAAATTGTCTAGAAAAAATGTATTCAAGTATTAAGTGGTACACCAAGTGTTATCCATGCTTCAAGAAGAGGTTATTTTGTAAATATGTTTGATGGCACACTACTTCCACAAATTATTTTTTACATTTTGGACAAAGCCACTTTCCCCTTGGTTTCCTTACAATGTTAACACATTGATAATGGAACCATCCAATATCACATGAGTCTCCATCACAAAAAATCATCTTGCCATATTCTGGTTCTTCACACAAGCAATACTTCTCTTTTGTGACGTCATTGACTGAAGTGTTGGCTACTTTATAATCATGTAGCAATTTCCTGGTAAGTAGCTCTGGGATTAATAGCTCTTTAACAAAGTAAGTGCACTTACTTATTAAATGATTACAAAACTCAGGATCCCTGCAAATTCTAACAATAGCAAGCAAAATAACATCATTAGGACTTGTCATTACAACAAAATCACAATAATCAGTGTCATAGACAAACATCTGAAACTGAACCTGAGTGTAATATTTGTGGTTATTTTTCAAGTGTAAGTTTGTGTCCAAACAAAATGTAGGGTCTTGTTTTGCAGCTTCTATTGAAGTTTTGTCTTTATGCTTGTGGGGACATTTAATCTCAAGGGTTCCTTGTCCACAACAATTGCATGAAATCACACCATCAGCTGAAGCACCAAGAACATAATTTTTTTCAGATATCTTCAACCCAGATAATTTACACTCAAAATTTGTATGTTTTTTTTCCATATATTGGATGTAGGCATCTCTGGTTGTTGCTTCATTTTCCAGCCCCCATTTTATGGCCTCTTTTTTACTGAGATCATATGAGTTGTATCCTGCAAGTCTCATGATCAATTTATTAGGATTTGTAGTTGGTCTTAATGTTAAAACCTCATGAGCTTTTGAAGCTGTTATTCGACCTTTTCTGTGTTCAAACCAAAGGGTACTTATATTTTGAGATTCAGTAATTTTGAATAAATTTGCAGATTGAGAAGTTGAGCAATGATAGTTCCTAAAAAGTTGATCTGATTTGTTGATTAATTCCTGTTCAGTTAGTTCTTTATTAATGACATCATAATAACTTGTAAGAGGTCTAGGTAATTTTTCTTCTTTTGTATGTTTAACCTTGACTGATGTTTCTCTAGTTACTTCATCATTCATTGGAGGAATGAGAGAAAAGAATGCAGCATTAGGACACACCTTAGAGAAAGATTCTAACACATCTTTGCCTGGTAATGGATCTTTGCTTGATGGTATAACACATTCCAATTTTTTTTTTCTGTTACTGTTCATAAGGTGCTGTATATCCATAATTGAGCTGACATCAACCTAACAACACAAAGATATCAATTTTTAGCTTACCGGCCCAAAAGGCCAAGTGAGATTTTCCCATCTCTTGGCATCTGTCGTCGTCCATTAACTTTACCACAAATCTCTCTGTAATTACTGGGCCAAATTTAAACAGACTTTTGAGTTATCTTTCCCTTGTTGAAAGTTTTTTGGACTGTTTAAACTCAATTTTAAAGTAAAGACCGTTAAGTAACAGAGTCAAGTATTTATTAAATAATTCTTTTTTTTTTTGTATGCTTTACAGTTTCTGTATATAAATAACTTGAGAAAACCAGTGTTGTATTTTCAACTTATACAAGATTTGCAAGTGTTTGTGAATAAGTTATATATTTTTTTCATGCTTGTAATGATTCATTTGTTTAATAAGTTTATTGTAAAGTTGAAGTGACATAACTTTTTGTATGCTTTACAGTTTCTGTATATAAATATACAACACTCCAACCTTAATTAAGAACTAATAAAAGTTATCTCTCTTTGTACACCTGATATAGACTACACTTGATAACTATGTATAGTTTATTATACATGTATTATTGTCTTATTGTCTTATTAATCATTATAATCAGTTGAAAGATTTGCAAGTGTTTGTGAATAAGTTTTTTTTTTTTTCAATGCTTGTAATGAGCCATTCGCTTAATAAGTTTATTGTAAAGTTGAAGTGACATGACTTTTTTTTCATGCTTGTAATGAGTCATTGGTTTGATAATGTTATTGTTAAGTTGAAGTGACATGACTTTTTTTTTTCATGCTTGTAATGAGCCATTCGTTTAATAAGTTTATTGTATGTAAAGTTGAAGTGACATAACTTTAAAGTAACACCATAATAAGGACTAATCCTGTAGTATAGCCTACTAGTACTTATCCAATCAAGACTTTGTACATGTATCAGGCATATAAAAGGATAGAAGCTATCCAATTGAAAATACAAAATATCATATAATAGGAATTGTATAAATTCTATGAAATAAAGTTTACACAAAATTTGATAATTTGTTAAGTGTGTAAAGTTATCACCAGTCAAGAAAAGCATGTAATTTTTATCCATAAAATGTTATGACGTTGTAAGAATATATAGGTGTCATTTCAGAAGACATTTGGTTTCCATACAATAACTTGAGTAAAGGTGAACAGATCTCTACAACGTTTTGGTTGCTTCCCTTACACTGTTTTTAAATTATGTTTAAAGAAATGCATATTCATAAAGGAAGACCAGTTAAAAAATCTGCAAATGTTGCATCTTTTTTTTTATAAAAAAATCCATATGAAAGATTTGACACTATATTTTAAATTCTATTATAAAATAGATTAAGTTAGCACTATGGTAAATTTAAATGGGTAATTATGGTTGCAAACTCCATTGGAAATTTGAATTGAGATTATGACCATATCTTGAGGGAAAGAATTTTTTGGGGATAAAGGGGGGGGGGGGGGGGGGGGGGGGATAAAAAGAAATTGTGGGGGGTCAATTTTTTCTCATTTCAGATTTCAGAAATTAAAAAGAATTATTCTTCAAATATTGAAAAATTTCAAGAGGTAATCTTTAATTGCTCAGTATGGCGCATTAGATTTGTAAAATCTTTGACCACATTTATTTATTTGTTATGCCGAATCTAACCGTGTATTTAGATTTTTAATTTTGGGTCCAGTTTTCAAATTGGTCTACATTAAGGTCCAAAGGGTCCAAAATTAAACTTTGTTTGATTTTAACAAAAATTGAATATATGGGGTTCTTTGATATGCTGAATCTAAACATGTATTTAGATTTTTGATTTTTGGCCCAGTTTTCAAGTTGGTCCAAATTGGGGTCCAAAATTAAACTTTGTTTGATTTCATGGGGTTCTTTGATATGCTGATAAACGGTTGAGCTTTTCATTATTAATAAGATAATACCACATTGAGGTCCAAAGGGTCCTAAATTAAACTTTTGTTTAATTTCATCAAATATTGAATTCTTTGGTTCTTTGATATGCTGATTCTAACAATGTTTGAGTGTTAAATCATATCTAATTTTATAGAACTTAGTCATCACTGGTTGTTGTTATTATATTATTGATTATAATTTGAAACATTGCATCATATCTTATTTTAGAGAACTATTTATCCAGTTTGAGTTATTTCCATTTGCACAGAAAATATCATGGATAAAATTAACCTGTGTTTCATTTCAACATAAATTAAATATATATATAGGGTTCTTTCAAATGCTGAATCTAAACTCTATTTAAATATTAGATTTTTAGGCCCAGTTTTCAAGTTGGTCCAAATCAGGGTCCAAAATTAAACTTTGTTCGATTTGACAAAAATTGAATTTATGGGGTTCTTTGAAATGCTGAATCTAACCATGTATTGAGAGATTTTGGATTGTGGGCTCCTTTATCAAATTGGTCCACATTGAGGTCCAAAGGGTCCTAGATTAAACTTTTGTCTGATTTCATCAAAAATTGAATTCTTGGGTTTCTTTGATATGCTGATTCTAATATGTACTTAGATTTTGGATATTGGACCATAATAGGTATTTAAATGTCCAATTTCAAATATATCAGTTCTTTGACTACATTCATTTTGTGTCACAAACCTATGATGTGTCAAATATTCAATCACAATCCAAATTCAGAGCTGTTTTAAGTTTAAATGTAGTGTCCATACTTGCTAAACTGTTCAGGGTTAGACCTCTGCAGGAAAATCCGGTTTGCTGTCTCTCTGACAACCTCTTGTTAAGACTTGGTATAAATTTCTTTTTTTGGGACCAATTTCAAGGCGATTGATAATTCAAAGTTTTTAATTCGTGGGATTCTTTAATATGCTAAATCAAACTATGTATTTGGATTTGATATATTTGGGCCTGGTTTTCAAATTGTTCCACATTGAGGTCCAAAGTGTCCAAAATTTTACTTTATTTGATTTTATCAAAGTAGAAGTTTTTGAGTGCTTTATTTTTATGCCCCCGCCCGGATGGGGCATTAAGTTTAACCCATGTCTGTCTATACATATGTCCGTCCGTACGTCCCGAAATTGGTTTCCGTTCTCTTACTAAATTTGTCTCAACCAAATATTATAAAACTTATACACAATGATTTTAACCACAAACCATAGATGAAGTTTGAATTTGGGTAGCGTCATTCATACCTTTCTGGAGTTATGCCCCTTTACAAATGGAAAAATTGCTGAATTTTTCGTTTCCGTTCTCTATCTTAAGTTTACCTCATCCAAATGTTACGAAACTTATACATAATTTTAATTACCACAAAACACAGATCAAGTTTGAATTTGGGTGGCGTCACCTATACCATTCTAGAGTTATGCCCCTTTATAAATGAAAAAATTACAAAATTTTTAGTTTCCGTTCTCTAACTTAAGTTTGCCCCAACCAAACATTATGAAACCTATACATGATACTTATTACCACAAAACTCAGAATTTTTTTCCCCTACATACCTTTATATAAATTTTTTTCTGAGACAAGTGCCTGTGTTTCCGTTCTCTAACTTAAGTTGCCTCAACCAAATGTTATGAAACTTATACACAATGCTCATCACCACAAAACACAGATCAAGTTGAATTTTGGTAGCGTCACTTCAACCATTATAGAGTTATGCCCCTTTATAAATCCAAAAATTGCAAAATTTTTAGTTTCCGTTCTGTAACTTAAGTTTGCCCCAACCAAACATTATGAAACCTATACATGATACTTATTACCACAAAACTCAGATCTGGTACAAATTTGGGTAGGGTCATTTTTTTATTGTTTTTGAGTTATGTCCCTTTATAATGTTGTATGCAAGTGGGGCATCATCTGTGTCCATGGGGACACATTTTCCTTTTTTATGCCCCCACCGTAGCGTAGGGGCATTAAGTTTTACCCTTGTCCGTCTGTACGTACGTCCCAAAGTTGTTTCGGTTCTCTAACTTTAGTTTGCCTCAACCAAATGTTAAGAAACTTAAACACAATGCTTATTACCACTAAATGCAGGTCAAGTTTGAATTTTGGTGGCGTCACTTTTACCGTTTTAGAGTTATGCCCCTTTACAAATGAAAAAATTGCTAACTTTTTCGTTTCCATTCTCTTACTTAAGTTTGCCTCAAACAAATAATATGAAACTTATACACAATGCTTATCAACACAATATACAGATCAAGTTTGAATTTTGGTGCAGTCACTTTTACTGTTCTAGAGTTATGCCCATTACGAATGGAAAAATTGCTAAATTTTTCATTTTTTTTCTAAATATCAAGTAATTTTTAAAATTGGAGTTATCTTCCTTTGTACAATATTATAGTTGAATCAACTACAATCAATGCTTTATACGATGCAATGTTTAATTTTGCCTTCCACTGATAAATTAAAGCAATTTTTATCCTTCATTCCTAAAAATATTTCATAGTCTACTTTGAAAATTGGAGTTATCTTTCTTTGTGCATAATATTCAATTTTACTTCCTACTGATAAATTAAAGCAATCTTTATCCTTCATTCCTAAAAAAATTTCATCGTCTTCTTTGAAAATTGGAGTTATCTTTCTTTGTGCATAATGGTAGTTAAATCAACTACAACCAATGCTTTATACAATGCAATATTCAATTTTACTTCCTACTGATAAATTAAAGCAATCTTTACCATTCAGTGCTTACAAGCTGTTTGATTACCGTTCTAGGGTTATGCCCCCTTTACAAAAAAAAAAATTGCTGAATTTTTCGTTTCCAGTCTCTAAACTTATACACAATGCTTATTACTACATAATACAGATTAAGTACGAAATTTGGTGGTGTCACTTTTACCATTCTTGAGTTATGTCCCTATATAAACATAAAAATTGCTGAATTTTTTGTTTCCGTTCTCTAACTTTAGTTTGTCTCAACCAAATGTTATAAAACATATACACAACCTTTCTAGAGTTATGCGTGTTTACAAATAGAAAAATTGCTGAATTTTTATTTTATCAATATTTTCATTACCAAATGATTAAGTTGAATAATCATTAAATGGTTTGAGTGAGAGAAGAAAGTGTGGAATTATTGATGGTTACATAGTAAAGAACAATGATGTTGTTATGAATTGTTTGAATATTGTATACAATTTTTAATAATCAACATCAGAAAATAGTGTGCGTATTTATTTATTTACTGGAAAAATAACAAAATCAGGGTCACAACTCAACCAATCAGTATCATCTATTATGTGATACATAGCCTTTCCACCACAGAATGTTTTTTTTTTAGTGTAGATCAAAAATACTCAAAGAAGAAGTCCAACTCCTATATTATAAATTATACCTGTTTTCTAAAAACTTTGTTCCATT